TTATAAGTAAGCGCCTTCCTACCCAAAAAAGCATCCTCCGCTACATCCGACCACACCCGCAAGACCTCCGGCAAGCAGCCCCCACTTAGAGGTTCATGGTACTTAGTACCCAATTCCAAACTGTACTTTATAACCCAAGTCTAGCCTTCTTAGGGAAGCCTTAAGGGGCTTATACGTGGGTTATAACGACACGTATAAATGGGTTACTAAGTATCTTGAACCTCCAAGCACCCCCCACCACCCGGAGCCCTGCATCTCTGGCCGCGGCAGAGCGCGCTCAGCACGCCGCCCAGCAGGGCTGCGAAGATGAGTCGCATGGGAGCGCCTGGGAGGGAGGGCTCTGGGGGGGCCTGCAGAAATTCTCTGTGTTTGAATAGGGTTTAGGGTTTAGGGTTTCGGGTTTAGGGTTTAGGGTTTAGGGTTTTGGGTTTAGGGTTTAGGTTGAGGGTTTAGGGTTTAGGGTGTAGGGTTTAGGGAGAGGAATCCGGTAGGGCTCTTAGGCTTGGGGAAGATGCGTTGGGTTTGGCGGTTGAGAGTTTTGGGGATTTGGAGCATCCATACCTTACCTGTCAACTCTTGCAAATCCTTCATTCCATCCTCACACGCAGAATCGAAAGCAGACTTGCAAAGGGTTGCGTATGCATATATGTATGTATATGTGCATGTAGGGCTTTTTTTACTAACCTTGAGTCCATTCCAATTCAACCCCTTTTTGCTGTTCCAACACCCCCTAAACCCCTAAACCCGTAATCCCTTAGGAGCCCCCACAACAGTAGCAACCAACGCCTCTTGTCACCGAACGTAAGCTACCACTTGTCCAGGAGTTGCTCGGCTTTTCGGGTTCAGACTGAAGTTTACCTTTTGTATTATCGGTTAGGGGCTTCAGGGTTTATGGGTTCAGGGGTTTGAGGGCTTAAAGGTTTAAGGGTTTGAGGTGCAGGGCTAGGGGGGCTTAGGCTTTGGGGTTTTACAGGGGGCTTAGGCGTTGGGGTTTTATATGGGGGTTTCCGAACATCAGGGACCCTAATTATAGATCCCCAAAAAGTAGGATCCCCTTACAATAGGGACCCCAATAAGGTACGAGTACCCCTACTCTGAAACCCCCATGAGCCCTTCCAAGGACATGAAGCACGTCTGAGGGCAGGACGCCATATCTCTTGCAGGAGCGGCTCCTGGGGCAGAGACAGGGAGACAACCCCGTCCTTCGAGGTCCTAAACCCTAAACCCTAAACCCTATACCCTAAACCCTAGACCCTAAACCCGAAACCCTAAACCCCAAACCCCTCTAGTTTGGGGACTCAGACGTGCAAAGAACAAGAAAACCATTTTTTCCATGCCTGCTCTGAAGCACGGAAGAGGGGGCGGTTGTTTGCTTTGAGGGTTAAGGGTTTGGGGTTTCGGACATGTCGGGAATTAGGGAGGAAGCACCTTAAACCCCTCTAACCTGTTCAGGCGCTGACCCCTCATTCCACAACTCCTACTAGGCTTCTGGCACTGAAGAATGTGGTTCTGTTGGTCTCAAAATATTTGGGAAGGAAAAAAAAAGAAGAAAGCACCCTTTCTATGTCCTGCTTAGGCAGAGCTCAGAAACGAGCCTAGCCCTAAACCCTAAACCCTGAACCCTAAACCCTAATCCAAAACCCTTGAAGAAGGCTGCTGTTGGGCGTCCGGGCATACCTGAACCCCCAGAACCTGAACCTAGACCCTCCTTCCTTCGTCTCGGGCCCTTCGGCCCCTTAACTCTTTGTGATGGATCCTGCACCACCCGCACCCTTAAACGTTTAGGGCTTAGGATTTAGGGCTACGGGTTTAGGGTAAGTTTAGGGTTTAGGGAGCCCGAAGCCCCATGAGCTTCCAAGTGAACCTCCTAAACCTTAAACCCTAAACCTTAAACCCTAAACCCTAAACCCTAAACCTTAAACCCTAAACCCCAAACCCTAAGATCGGTCCTGGCTCCACCCTAGGAGGCGCCAACAGGCCCTCAGGGGCAGCCCTTCGCCGGGGAGTTGTTGCGCTTAGGGCATGTAAGGGTTTACAGTTTATTCGGTTTAGGGTTTAGGTCCCATACCCTAGGGCCCTAAACCTGAGCCACGAACCGGCGGGCCTATGCCTATGGACCAACCTGAACACCCTTAAACCCTTGAATCGTTTAGGGTTTAGGGTTCATTGGGCTCCTGCGTCCCAAGGGTTGAGGGTTGATGGTTTAGGGTTTAGGGTAGTGTCCCCTAAACATGTTTGGAATGGCTTTGGCTCGATTGGGTGGCCTTGGGGTCTTCACACTACTGCGTTCAGCCGACCAACGCTGCACCCTAAGCCCTAAACCCTAAACCCTAAACCCCAAACCCTAAACCCTAAACCCTAACCCCCCCCCCTCCGGTCCCCCATACTGCCTGCCACCAGCGGCGCCAGGAATCCGAAGGATCCCACCAGAGACCCTGCCTTTGCGAGTCTGGGCGAGTTGAAGGTTTAGGGTTTAGGGTTTAGGGTTTAGGGTTTAGGGTTTAGGGTTTAGGGTTTAGGATTTAGGATTTAGGGTTTAGGGTTTAGGGTTTAGGGTTTAGGGTTTAGGGTTTAGGGTTTAGGGTTTAGGGTTTAGGGTTTAGGGTGGGCTTAGGGTTTCCGGGGGCTTCAGGGTCAGGGTTTCGGGTTTGGGGCTTAGAGGCGTTTAGGGGGCTTTCGCGTGAGGGGGCTTAGGGGAGTTTGAAGGGGCTTGAGGACTTAGGGGTTTCGGGGGTTTCGGGGGTTTCAGGTGTCAGGGTTTGGGGTTTAGGGGGCTCAGGGGGATGAGTTTGAGGGGGGCTTGGGAAGTTCCAGGGTTTAAGGGGTGCATGGGGCTCTTCGGGCTTTGGGGCTTGTAGTGAACACCATAAAACCTGCAAACCCGATAAACCTTGTAAACCTTGAAAACCCTATCAACCCTACACCCTCACCTGACAGTCCGATCTTCAGGCCGTAAGCTACATGGAGGTTTCGAACTAACCTTTGATTCAAGAAGCGCATGCCCCTTAAAAGTACTCTAAACCCTAAACCCTGAAACCTTAACCCTAAACCCTGAACCATAAGCACTCAAATGCGCACAGGGCGAGCCTTGCACCCACATAAGCCAACTTCCAACCTGATGTCCTGAACTTGGCTTTCCAGGTATGGGCCCTTAATTTGGATCCTTCAATATATAGCCCTGGCATACACTTTGCATAGTAAGTTTTGGGTTTAGGGGTTTGGGGTGTTAGGGTTTTAGGCTTCGGGGCTTTGGGGATAAGGTTTAGGGTTTAGAGTTTAGGGTTTAGGGTTTAGGGTTTAGGGTTTAGGGTTTAGGGTTTAGGGTTTAGGGTTTAGGGTTTAGGGTTTAGCGTTTAGGGTTTAGGGTTTAGGGTTTAGGGTCTAGGGTTTGGGTTAAGGGTTCCCTGTCTGCTTCTTCTCTCTGCCATGTCCTTTTGCTTGGTCCCGTCAGGGTGGCGTCGGCAGCTCCCTTGCACTTGGGTCAGCTCGAGCCCGGCTCTTAGGGTTTAGGGTTTAAGGTTTAAGGTTTAGGGTTTAGGGTTTAGGGCTTAGGGTTTAGGGTTTAGGGTTTCGGGATTCGGGATTCGGGATTCGGATTGCGGGTTTAGGGTTTAGGGTTTAGGGTTCAGGGTTTAGGGTTTAGGGTTTCGGGTTTAGGGTTTAGGGTTTAGGGTTCGTTTCGAAACCCAAGCGTCTTCAGCGTCTTAGTAACAGTGGCCTACACGGCCACAACTTCCAAGGCGCCTAAACCAATTTTTATGAGCTAGTTGGGTGTCTAGGCAAGCCATGCACCTGAAACCCAAACCATAAACCCTCAACCCGAAGCCCTAATCCCTCACTCCTAAACCTATACTACCAACACCCTATACCCTAAACCCTATATAAATAAACCCGAAGTAATACCCTTGACCCTATGAATAGCCAAGTCCTACAACCCCAAACCTAAACCCTAAACCCTGACTCTCCGCCTGGACCATAGACTCGAGTCTCGAGGCAGGGCCACGCGACCCAAAGCAAGGAAACTCCCGGCGCGCGCAAGACATTATCCCATGTTGGGGTTTAGAGTTCAGGGGCCCTAAACCCTAAACCCTATGGTTCAGGGTTTAGGGTTTAGGGTTCAGGGTTCAACCCTAAACCCTAAACCCTATAAACCCTAGGCTTCCGGGTTCAGGGTTCAGGGTTTCGGGCTGAGGGCTCAGAACTAATCCTAGCTCTCCCATATTCTGTCGGGCCGTCGGCTCGAGAGATTTAGGGCAGAGGCCCCAACAACTTGGCACAGCTCGGCCTTAGCTTTGGGGCTTAGGGGTTTAGGGTTTAGGGGTTGAGGGGTCAAGGGGTTGATGGGTTTAGGGGTTGAGGGGTTTAGGGTTTAGGGTTTAGGGTTTAGGGTTTATGGTTTGGGGTTTGGGGTTCGGGGCTTGGGGTTTAGGGCTTTCGGGATCTAGCCATTAAAGCAATGGTGATCAAGCAGAGAAATTCATGATGCGAAAACATTAGCCTGAAATTTATTTATTCAGGTAAACCTAACATCACTTAGTTTATCGCATAAAATACGTTGAAATATGTTCATTGGCATAAATAGTGCTTTTTGTATTCATGGACTTATTCGCAAGAATTCAATTAATTTCACGAACATAAGTCATTAGTTTCGTTATTGTTATTACTTGGATGTTGCATTTAGTTTAATTGGGTTCAAATAAGTAAATGGACTCACTTACTTATAAGTGTCAATATTTTGTTAAATTTAATAATTGATTTGATTGAAACAAACTACATTCATTTATATAAACTCAACACTTACTGGGTTTTAATAACATAAACTATTCGAGTATAATTAATTTATAATTAACCGAAGTAAGTCAAATAATTCAATTATTGTTCTTATTCTAATTGGCCATTTAATACAGTCAAAAAATCAATTACTTTACTTAGTTGATTAAACATAACTTATAGGACTTCGAGACCCCCTCGCCCAACAACACTGCGAACTTTGGGCGCTCTCACAAGAAGTCCCCCACAGGCCGCCCGCGCACGGGGCGCTGCGGGGGCAAGGTCGCCGCCTTGTGAGAGCGGGAGAAGAGGGATGGGGGGTTTGAGTTTCAGCTTAAGGCTTGGGTTGGGGGGTTTAGTTTAGGGTTTAGGGTTTAGGGTTTAGGGTTTAGGGTTTAGGGTTTAGGGTTTAGGGTTTAGGGTTTAGGGTTTAGGGTTTAGGGTTTAGGGTTTAGGGTTTAGGGTTTAGGGTTTAGGGTTTAGGGTTTAGGGTTTAGGGTTTAGGGTTTAGGGTTTAGGGTTTAGGGTTTAGGGTTTAGGGTTTAGGGTTTAGGGTTTAGGGTTTAGGGTTTAGGGTTTAGGGTTTAGGGTTTAGGGTTTAGGGTTTAGGGTTTAGGGTTTAGGGTTTAGGGTTTAGGGTTTAGGGTTTAGGGTTTAGGGTTTAGGGTTTAGGGTTTAGGGTTGGGGGAGTTGAGGTTTGGGGTGATTGCGGGGGCTAGGGCAGGGACAAGTGAAGGGATGAGGACTTTGTCCTAAGTTCAGAGCCCTTCCACCCCACCACCCTGGACACCACCGCAAAGGATTCAGGGTTTAGGGTTTAGGGTTTAGGGTTTAGGGTTTAGGGTTTAGGGTTTAGGGTTTAGGGTTTAGGGTTTAGGGTTTAGGGTTTAGGGTTTAGGGGGGTACCTGTGTTTGGGATAACCCTGAACCCTAAACCCCGGGCGGCTTAACGGGGGGTTAATGGGGGGGGGGGGGGGGGGGGTTCCAACCCCTTAAGCCTCCACAACAAACAACGAGGCCACAGACCCAAACCCTGAGACCCCTGAGGCGACTCCTACAAGGAGCTTTTTAGCAGCAACTTACAAAGAAGCAGGCTTGGGGTTCTTAAGGTAAGCCCTAAACCCCCTGAATGCACAACACCCAAGATCCCAAAGTCCCCCTAAGCCCTAAATCCCTAAATGCCCTAAACCCTAAACCCTAAACCCTAAACCCTAAGCCTTTTGGAATCTTAAAGTAGACTCCTTAGGGCCCCGGCCCAGAGGGCCGGTGAGAAGTCGACCTTCACCTGGGGTGTAGAGTTTACTTAGGGTTTAGGGTTTACTGTTCAGGGTTTAGGGTTTAGGGGTACAGGGTTTAAGGTTTACGGAGCGGCGACAGGTAGGGTCGATTGAGAGCGGCCACCCTAGATGAGGCAGCCCTGCACCCAAAACCTTAGGGGTTTTGGGTTTAGGGTTTAGGGTTTGGGGTTTTATGCTTGATCTTCACAGTCAGTCGGGACTGGGCACGGGAAATCCATTTTTGGGCAGGGCGCCCCGGTTAATAAACACCCCCAAGTAGTCGGGCTTGGCCCTGCAAAACTCCTGCACCCTAAACCCTAAACCCTAAACGCTAAACGCTAAACGCTAAACTAGTTGTTAGACACCCCTTCCCCGACTCACAAAACCCCAGCAACCCAAAGCACCAACGCCTCTTCCTCCAAGAAATCACTAGTTGAAGAAGCTAGATTCTAGACCCAAGAGTAACCGAAGAATGAAAAGGGCGCCCTTCTTGGTTTAAAGGGGCTTATAAGGGGAACCCAAACCCTGAAAAACAGGAATAAGGGCCTACTCTGGGTATCCTAAACGCTAAACCCTAAACCCTAAACCCTAAAAAAAGTGGAACAGGGGCCTACTCTGGTCCCAGTAGTGGAAGATCTGGGTTGGCCTTCGCGGGTAGGAGGTACTCCTTGTCCAAGGTCGGCGGCTCTGGCACGGGATAGTTCCTGGGCGCCGGAGAAGTGTCTGGGCCTTAGGGTTTTAGGGTTTAGGGTTTAGATTAGGGTTTAGGGTTTAGGGTTTATGGTTTAGTGTTTAGGGTTTAGGGTTAGGGTTTAGGGCTTAGGGTGTATGGTTTAGGGTTTAAGGTTTCGGGTTTAGGGTTTTTAGGGTTTAGGGTTGAGGGTTTAGGGTTGAGGGTGCCTTAACCCTGAGGCCCTGCACCCCACCGGCAGGGCGTGACAGATAAGCATCCTATACCCTAAACTCTAAACCCTTTATACGCGAAGCTCCCAAAATCCCAAACCCTAAACCACTAGCACCCTGCATCCTCTTTTCCCTAAACCCTAAACCCTAAACCCAAAACCCTAAACCCTAAACCCCAACCAAACCCTACGGCGTGGGGTGTAGAGTCAACCCCAAAGCCTGTGAAACCGCCTAAACTCTAAACCCTAAACCCTAAAGCCTGAACCCTGAACCCTGAACCCTGAACCCTAAACCCTAAACCCTAAACCCTAAACCCTAAACCCTAAACCCTAAACCCTAAACCCTAAACCCTAAACCCTAAACCCTAACCCTAACCAAACCCTAAACCCTAAACAAACTTTACTCGCCCCCCCCCCCCCCCCCAAACCGCCTTTGGTTCTACAGCTCGCTACCACTTTGCGCTCTTTGAGACGCAGACGGGTCAAACCTCTGTGAGTCCTCTGAGCCCGACACCCTGAAAGCCTTAACAACCCTCTAAACCCTTTAAGCCCTCAGAACCCTCTAAACCCCTCCAAACCCCCTCTAATCCGAGCATCTGTTTAATTGGTGGCCCCCCCCCCCACCGCAATAAGAAAGGCAGGGCGCCGCAATAGTAAGACCATTGGCAACGTATGGATTTTCGATTAAAACAATAGGAATGTATTGCAGTTTCGCCGATCCAAACTGCAGGTCAGCAAGCAAAAAAGGAAGCCCGATGTTTTCTTTAAATATGGTGGTATTGGCCCATACGAAAACTGCCGTCATGGAAAGTAGTCTTCCAGCTGGATTCTCGACAACAAAAAACCTTAAATGTGAGGGTATTAATTAAACAAATGCTCGGATTAAACCCTAAACCCTAAACCCCTAAACCCTCTCAACACTCTCCAAACCCTCCAAACCCTCCAAACCCTCCAAACCCTCCAAACCCTCCAAACCCTCCAAACCCTCCAAACCCTCCAAACCCTCCAAACCCTCCAAACCCTCCAAACCCTCAACTCTGTCCAGCCCCCTCTGTGGAGCTCTCAAGGACCCGGCGTGGGCCAGCTCTCCGAGTTCAGCGGATACGCGTAGGCCGAGTAGTTGGGAGGCCCGCCGCCCTGGCTTAGGGCTTAGGGTGTAGGTTTCGGGCTAGGGTTTAGGGTTTAAAGTTTGGGGCTTAGGAAGTAACTTTGCTTATGGGCTTAGGCAGGGTACGTTTTGCTCGTTTAGGGTTTAAGGTGCCCCCTTGGCTTGCTTTGGAGGTTCAGGGTACTTAGTAACCCATTACAAGTGTAGTTTTTCACCCACACATGGGGGCTTCCGAGATTTATTGGCACTTTTTTTTTTTTTTGGGGGGGGGGGGGGGGGTCAGGGGGGTCCTTATTATCAGGGAATCCTACTCTTTCGGGGACGATATTAGGGGGCCCCCCATTTTCTCAGATCCCCATCCAACCCCTTACTTCGTCAGCCCCTGCTTCGGGGCAGGGAGGGATTTAGGGATTGAGGGATTTCAGGATTTAGGGATTGAGGGATTTAGGGATTTGAAGTAGGGTTTTTATTTCTTGTATCCCCAAAAGGACACCAAGTATACACACTCACCAAATTTAAAAGGGAAACTTGTATACACTCACCAAAAACAGAAATATAAACCCTGCTTCATTTAGGGATTGAGGGAGTGAGGGATGGAGGGATTGAGGGATTAGGGATCTGGGGATCTAAGGATTAAGAAAGTTTAGGGATTTAGGGTTCTGGGCTTAGGGTTCAGTTGCGGTGTCGGAAGGGAGGGCAAGGGGTTAGGGCTTCACCTCAGCTGCCCCTCTGAAATTCGAAGCCCTGAACCCCAAGATCCTCATCTGGAGGGCATCTGGAGAAAGTGCATCTGGGAGGCGGGCGTCTGGGAGGAGGGTATCTGGGAAGAGGGCATCTAAAAAGAGGGCATCTCAGAGTTGAATATCTGGGAAGAGGGCGTCTGGAAAGAGGGCATCTGGAGGAGGACATCTGGGAGGAGGACATCTGGAAAGAGGGCATCTGGGAGGGGGACATCTGAGAGAGAGGGCATCTGGCAAAAGGCATCTGGGAGGAGGACATCTGGGAAGAGCTGCGCTGGGAATACGGCGTCCGGATGGAGGGCATGTCAAAAGAGGGTATACAAAGCCGTAAACCCTAAACCCTAAACCCTAAACCCTAAACCCTAAACCTCCCCAACTCCTAAACCTCTCCTGAAGCCCAAAACCCCGCCGCCACCTCAATCTGGCCGGCCGTCGGCTCCACGTCGCTGATAGTCAGCACGTCGGTGCCGAGGATGTACCTTTCCACCAACCTGCGAGGTGTTTTGGGTGGCTGGGTGTCGTTTTGGGGTTCAGGGTTTAGGGATTAGGGATTAGGGTTTAGGGTTTAGGGTTTAGGGCTTAGGGTTTAGGGTGCTGGGTTGAGGGCTTTCGGGTATATCAGGTTTGGGGTTTAGGTCTTCGTGCTTGGGCTGGACCAAGAACCCTGAGCCCTACGTAGAGAGTTCTTAAGGGAGGGAGGTTCAGGTTTAGGGTTTAGGGTTTAGGTTTTAGGGTTTAGGGTTTAGGGTTTAGGGTTTAGGGTTTGGGGTTGAGGAGCATCCTTAAACTTTCAGGGTTCTTAAGGGAGGGAGGTTCAGGGGGGGTAGGTACCTAGGGAACCTTAGGGAAGCCTACAGAGCCTTAAAGAGGTGGGGAGTGTTAGGGAACCTTGGGTTACATGCACGAACCCCCCTCTCTTGAGAACCCTATAACCTACATTGGCCTCCGCGTGTTTTCCATCTCCAGTGCGGCATGGGTGGCGTGCTTCGCCAGCTCCATGTCGTAGGCAGCCTCTCGCAATCATCGGCAGAAGACCAACCAACAGTAAAGTTTAAGCCTTAAGGTTTAGGGTTTAGGGGTCAGGGGTTAGGGTTTAGGGTATTTGACCCAACGCAGCGCCATCATGTCTTGTTGACATCCACTCTAGTCTTCGTCACATCATCTAGTCCACGCTTGAAAGCCAGACAAGATCATCCCTCCCTTCTCGTACTCTACCTATCATCTAAGGTTTCCCATAGACTACAGACTCTGTCGACTGTCATGGGAGTCGTTCATATGGTGGTTTCCGAACTTAGGGGTATCTTCATGGGGTCCTTATAACAAGGGAATCCTATTATCTGGAGGTCTATTTTTGAGGGGGTCCCCTATTTTCGTAAACCCCCATATCTGCCGAGGCCCAAGGAATCTGTCTGACACCCGGCAGGGCAATGTGAGCTTCCCTGCTTGGAGGTTGCTAAAGTACCCTGATAGGACTATAATTGGGTGATGAGTACAGTTAGAATTGGGTTACTAGGTACCATGAATCTCCAAGTACCCCTGTACACCCAGCATTTCAGAATATGTGGTACGCTTTGGGGTAGCCTGTTCCGCTAAAAAAACAATTTTGCGCCCGCAACTCGAAACTCTAAACTCCCAAATCCGCAAACCCTAAACCCTAAACCCTAAACCCTAAACCCTAAACCCTAAACCCTAAACCCTAAACCCTAAACCCTAAACCCTAAACCCTAAACCCTAAACCCTAAACCCTAAACCCTAAACCTCGACCTCCCTCGCAAGTTTGCACCCACACGGCCGCGGAGGGGCCTGCTTGTGCGCCACCGCATTGGCAACCTCCCAGCTGTGAACCCTACTTGGGGAGCTGAGGGTTGAAGGCTTCAAGCGTTTGGGGCTTCAAGGTTGAGGGTTAGGATTTTGGGCTTCAAGGGTTCGGGTCTAAGGCAAGAGGGTGTAGGGTTTCAGGTCTAACTTGAAGACATGGGTGTGGTTGGAGCTGGGCCGAAAAACTCTCTGCGCTGTCGGGCTTTGAGGGTTTAGGGCGTAGGGCTGGTAGGATTGTGCTCGGCCCTACAACCCTCAAATCCCGAAAAATTCCGGAGGTCCCGAATGCCTTGCGGACTTGTGGAGGATGGCTTCCTATTCTGCTGGGTTGAGGGGCTTGGGGGCTTCGGGGGGTTTAGGGCTTAGGGTTTCGGGTTTAGGGTTCAGGGCTTAGGGTTTTGCGGTTTAGGGGCTTGGGGGTTCGGGAGGCCTCAAGCTCTCAACACAACTCCTACAAGCTTCCTTCACCCACAACTCTCAACTCTAAGGCTGAAAGCATGATCTTCTGTGAAGCTCTCAAAGACGATTGTCCCCTTTTGAATTCTTATCTCCAAACACCCCTGAACTCTGTATGGGAGTTAGGGTTAACGGGGCGTAGGGTGTAGGGTGTAAGGTGTAGGGTGTAGGGTGTAGGGTTCAGGGTTTAGGGTTTAGGGTTTAGGGTTTAGGGTTTAGGGTCTAGGGTCTCGGGTCTAGGGTTTAGGGTCCCGTTTAGCGTTTAGCGTTTAGGGTTTAGGGTTTAGGGCTTAGGGTTTAGGGTTAAGGGTTTAGGCTTTAGGGTTTAAGAATAGGGACCATCCACAAGAGAGCCCTTCTGCCACCGCCACCTTCACCGCAGCCAGCGCCGCGTCGCCCGTGTCCACCTCGTGGGTCTCCCTGCCGCTGGTGTTTAGGGTTGAGGGTTTAGGGTTGAGGGTTTAGGATCTAGGATTAGGGTTTAGGGTTTTGGGTTTAGGGCTTAGGATGGATGCAGAGGGCCCACAGGGCTCCGGGCTGAGGCTTTTGCGGGTTCTCAGCAAGGAATTTAGGAATTAAGTACCCCAAAGAATCCCTCTTGAAGGGTTTCCCCTAAACCCTAACCCTAAACCCTAAACCCGCCCGCCACCCCTCTCATCTGTGTTGGGTAGGCGGGCGCAGTCGAGACCATGGCAGGCTCTGCTTGAGCTGCAGTGCCCACCGCACCCTTGAGGTACCCTAAAACCCTGGGGGGGTCTCCCTCGCCGTTTAGGCTGGCCTTAAACCCTCCCAGTAAGGGAGGCCTGAAACCCTTCCAGTAGGCAGGGGGACCTTAAACCCTCCCAGTAGGCGGGGTTTTTCAGCAGGAGTCGGAAGGGGCCTTAAACCCTCCCAGTAAGCAGGGGCCTTAAACCCTTCTAGTAGCCGGCGGGCCTTAAACCCTCCCAGTAAGCAGGAGTGCCTAAACCCTTCCAGTAGGCAGGGGACCTTAAACCCTCCCAGCAAGCGGGGGGCCTTAAACCCTCCCTAAAACCCTCTAAGCAGCGGAGCCTTAAACCCTCCCAGTAAGGGAAGCCTTAAACCCTTCCAGTAGGCGGCGGACCTTTAACTCTCCAGTAAGCAGAAGGGCCCTTGACCCTTCCAGTAAGCAGCAAGGCCCTGAAGGGGTATCCATTGCCTTATGGCCCTCAACTAGCTTAGTTTTCTATGAGAGGGCTCTTCGGCCCAGACCGTCCCCTTCGCAACAACCTGAAGGGCTATCCTTTGTTTTGGCCCCAAGTGAGCCCCAAGCTGCATGCTCGCTGGAGCTTCCTCGTCTTCGAGATTTTGCCCAACCGTTCGAAGTCCGAAGTTTCTTCAGCGTCCTCTCATGAGAATATGCGACGTGTGAGTTGTGAACGGTTGGCTTGGTTTGGGCTGGCTCCGGTTTGGTTTCACAGTGAGTTGTGATTGGGTGGCCTTGGGGTGGGCATGTCTTCACACTATTGCGTTCAGCTGACCCGTGCTACACCCTAAACCCTAAACCCTAAACCCTTTAGAGCCCCCGGAGGTATCTAATTCCCTCATTCCCTACCTGGAACCAAGAAGCTTGGGGTTGCAAGGCTGAGGAGGTTGGGGGCTTAGGGGTAGTGTGGGGGTTTAGGGTTTAGGGTTTAGGGTTTGGGGTGTAGGGTTTAGGGTTTGGGGTTTGGGGTTTAGGGTCCAGGGTTTAGGGTTTAGGGTTGAGGGCTGAGGGTTGAGGGTTTAGGGTTTAGGGTTGAGGGTTTGAGGGGGGTTTCTAGGACTTGGTTTAAAGGTTTTGGGGCTTAGGGTTCGGGGTTTAGGGTTTGGGGTCTAGGGCTTGGTCTAAAGGTTTTGGGGAGAGGTTTTTTGGGTTGAAGGGAATAATTAGGGTTGACCTCTGAGGGTTCAGAGTATGCAGAGTATGTCGGGTGTTTTTTGGATTGCCTTTATAAACCCTAAACCCTAAACCCAAAACTCTAAACCCTAAGCCCTGAGCCCTAAACCCTTGGGGGGGGGGGGGGGGGGGGGGGGGTAGGGTTTGACGTCTTGAGGTTTTAAGTCGGACCCTTTGAGCCCCTTTGACCCTACCTCGAGCCCTCCACAGCGTTTAGAGTTTCGGGTTTAGGGTTTAACCAGTGACTCGGACCCAGCTCGACGACAACGGCCCACTGCGTGCCGTCGCTAGAGGTCTGCTCGTAAACACGGTCAGCTGCAATATGGGAAACGTCTTCGCTGTGGTGAATGTGAAAATGACAGTCCTGACACCAATACTTGCCGTCGCCGTTGTAATTGAGCCTGGCCCCTTGATCACCACTGCATAATGTGCATGGTGTGAGCAACGGTTTGACATCCAGCATAGAGCGCGGCAGCGTATTCATGGCTTCTGAGTAAAACATCAAGCCCTGGCGAGAAGTGACTTGCATGCTGCACCCGAATCCTCAGATTTGATGTATCTATTTAGCGACCATGCACGACCACCATAGGGTTTAGGGTTTAAGGTTTAAGGTTTAGGGTTTAGGGTTTCGGGTTTAGGGTTTAGGGTTTAGGGTTTAGGGTTAGGGTTTAGGGTTTAGGGTTTAGGGTTTAGGGTTTAGGGTTTAGGGTTTAGGGTTTAGGGTTTAGGGTTTAGGGTTTAGGGTTTAGGGTTTAGGGTTAGGTTTAGGGTTTAGGGTTTAGGGTTTAGGGTTTAGGGTTTAGGGTTTAGGGTTTAGGGCTTAGGGCTTAGGGCTTAGGGTTTAGGGTTTAGGGTTTAGGGTTTACGGACTTGGGCCTCTCTCTTTTCGGCATAGCCCGAAAAGCTCTGCCCCGAAGCCTCATTAGAAGCAACGAAAGACCTGAGGCCTGCTGAAGATCGATCCCATGGCCGCGGGCAGGCTCTTCCGGCGCTTTGGTCTTCCAACAACAGGGTTTTGGGTTCTGGGTTTTGGGTTTAGGGTTTAGGGTTTAGGGCTTAGGGTTTTGGGTTTCGGGGTTAGGGTTTAGGCTCAAAACTCCATGGGTCTGTATCTAAACAAGAGATGAAAACACAACTCCCAGAAAAGCTGCCGTTGAAAGGCTTTGGTGGGCTTCGGGCCACTTGAGGCCTTCGAGTCTCTGTGCGCGATGTATTGGCTTGTGTGTGTGTGTGTGTTCAGGAATCGGTGTGAGGGTTGAGGATTTAGGGTTCAGGGTTGAGGGTTTAGGGTTTAGGGTTTGGGGTTTAGGGCTGTGAGTTTGGCGGCTCCCGAAAACTGAGCGAAGGCGCTGAGCCAGAGGCGGTAGACACTAAACCCAAAACACTAAACCCTAAACCCTAAACCCACTAACCTTGGGGTTTAGGGTTTGGTGTTTAAGGTTCGGTTGCGCCGAAACCTCCATGTGCCATGCCTCGAAGCTGACAGCTGCGGGCGCAGAGCGCAGTGCTTTGATTGGCTCGGGCCCCTGGGCCCCAAACCCCCTCTACCTTACTTCTAATTCAACCCGAAACCCTAAACCCTAATTAAACCCTAAGACCTCCTCTGGTCGGTGGTCCCCTGCATCCTAAAGCCCTACATCCCGACTCCTTTATACTCCGAAAATCCCGACACCCCCCCCTAAACCCCTGAACCCTGAACCCCCCGTAAACACCCCTGAGCCCCCAAACCATCCTGAACCCACAAACCCCAGAAGCCCAAAACCCCCCAAAATCCCTCCTAATACAGGGGCCCTGATCATTAGAATAGGGTTTTGGGGATGACTATAGTAGAATTACAAAGGGACCATCAGGGAATACCAGTGGTCACTAAACCCTAAACCCTGAACCCTAAACCCCAAACCCCAAACCCCAAACCCTAAACCCTAAACCCCAAACCCCTAAACCCTAAACCCCAAACCCTAAAACCTAAAACCTAAAACCTAAACCCTAAATCCTAAACCCTACCCGAGGACCATAGCCAGCCCGTCTTGTGATCCGAGGCCGCGGCCACGAAGCAGAGCCCGCACGCGGAGGCCTTCAGGAAGGAGGCCTGGGCTGGGTAGGGACCCTTCGAAGGGACCTTAGGGGACATTTTGGGGGTATTTAGGGTTTAGGGTTTAGGGTCAAGGGTCAAGGGATAAGGGTTAAGCGTTATATAAGGGTTTAGCGTTAAGGGTTCAGGGTTTTGGGTTAGGGTTTAGGGTTGCGGGTTGAGGGTTTAGGGTTTAGGGTGTATAAACGGAACCGGGTATGTCCCCAAATAGGGGTCATATAGGGGCCTTAATCAGTAAAACAGGGTTAGGGGGTTATTGTGGTATAGTTGTAAAGGGGCCATAAGGGAATACTATTCGTAATTTGTCCGACCCCGATAATACCGTTAATGTACCCCCAAAGTAGTATAATCCGAATTATCGGAACCCCAAAAGGGTACCCCGTATTTTCGGAAACCCACAGCTGAGTGTTGGGGAAGGTTTTGAAGGGCTTTGGGCTTGCGGGGGCAGGGCTCAGGGGCTTAGGGGAGACGCCCCAAAGGGCTGTCCAAAATGATCCAAACAGCACTCCTGGACCATTGAGGGCCCAAAAGCGACGAAAGTTCGTTCTGCCCTAAACCCTAAACCCTAAACCCTAAACCCTAAACCCTAAACCCTAAACCCTAAACCCTAAACCCTAAACCCTAAACCCTAAACCCTAAACCCTAAACCCTAAACCCTAAACGGGACCACGGCGAGAGTGCCTCTTGCACCACCACGACGCGCACGCTGCCCCACACAACGGATGCTCGAAGACAAACCCATCCGAGAGGGCACAGCATGCAGGGTTGAGGGTAGAGGGTAGAGGGTAGAGGGTAGAGGGTAGAGGGTAGAGGGTAGAGGGTAGAGGGTTGAGGGTTGAGGGTTGAGGGTTGAGGGTTGAGGGTTGAGGGTTGAGGGTTGAGGGTTGAGGGTTGAGGGTTGAGGGTTGAGGGTTGAGGGTAGAGGGTAGAGGGTAGAGGGTTGAGGGTTGAGGGTTGAGGGTTGAGGGTTGAGGGTTGAGGGTTGAGGGTTTAGAGTTTAGGGTTTAGGGTTTAGGGTTTAGGGTTTAGGGTTTAGAGTTTATGGTTTAGGGGTTGGGTTGAGGGTTTAGGGTTTAGGGTTTAGGGTTTAGGGTTTAGGGTTTGGGGCTTAGGGTTTGGGGTTTTGGGGTTTAGGGTGTAGGGATTCGGGTTGAGGGTTTGGGGTCTAGGTTTGAGGGTCCATGTAACACATGAACCCTACACCCGAGAACCCCCTCAATGCCGCTCACCTTTTCCTGCCGAGCTCAGCAGCCAGGGCCTCATTGGGGAAAGGACGGCCCCTATTTCTGGTACTGTACCCGACAAACATATGTGGGCTGCATAACAACCGCAAGCCTGTTCGGAGCACTGGCTTAGCAGGGGGTGCAGGGTTAAGGGTTTGGGGGTGTTAGCTTGAGGTTTGAGGGTTAGGGTTTGGGAAGGATGTAGGATTGAGGGCTTTGGGTTGAGGGAATGTGTGGATTCGATCCTGCCCACGGCCCCTTGTGCAATGGCTCAGCTGTCGTCCTGCGTGAAAGTGGTGCGAAGAAGCCTCAGGGGCTTGGCAAGGTTTAAAGGTTGGGGTTTAGGGTTTAGGGTGTAGGGCTTAGGGTTAAGGGTTTAGGCTTTAAGGCTTTTCTGTCACATGTGGGGAATGAGCGATCATCGCGAAGCTTCCTGGGTCCTCGTAATGGTCAAAAGTTCTTGAAAGCTTGGGACCTGGGTATTTCAAGTAGTTCTTATGAGGAGCACTTCTGGGTGGTTCTTATGCTACCTTTATAGGGAAAATCAGTGTGCACTATTGGCAACAACTTAGGCTCCTTGAATGTAACCTACCAAACAAATCAAGGATTTGGGGGGGTGGTTGCTATTTTTTCTAGTAAACCACTAGTTGCTGAAGAACCTCTCAAAAAAGACTAATATTCATCTCTATATTGCCCAAATGAGGAAGATTTGTTTTCTAGTATCTTGTGTGTTTTCCTAAGACCCACCCCCCCCCCCCAAAAAAAAAAAAAAAAATATATATATATATATATATATATATATATAATATAATAAATAAATAAATAAATAAATAAATAAATAAATAAATAAATAAATAAATAAATAAATAAATAAATAAATAAATAAATAAATAAATAAAAATAAATAAATAAATAAAATAAATAAATAAATATATATATATATACATATATATACATATATACATACAAAAAATAAGAATAAAAATATAAACATAGTAACAATACAATTAATCCCTATATTGTCCAAAGAAGGAAGAGTGGTTTTGACCTTGTCGACCCAGACCTCTCCGCTAAGTTGATCCCAGGCAAAAAGAGTCATCATGGGGGACTCATATGGGAACTTCTGAAACAAAGGGAACCTACACCTGATGGGGGTGCGTATTCAAAGGGGGTCCTACTATTTTGGGGTCTATACATGTCTATATTAGGGGTCCTGTATTTTGGCAAACACCTTACTTCCGGTGCCCAAAACTTAAGCTGCCCATGCGATCCGACGCAAAGCCCCATGGCCTTCGGAACAGAAATCGGGCTCAGGATTTAGGGTTGTGACTTTACAAAGGGTTGAGCTGCTTCGGAGCAGATTCATGTCGCAGGTGGCGGGGCTAAGGGCTTTGGGAGGTCTAAGAGCCCCATGGCAAGATCGCAAGACCGCGCACCTGACAGAAACGTGCGAGACGACACAGCACACCTCTCGAGCACGAGAGGTCAACTTCAACCACTGTAGGAGCCTGAATAATTCGAACGGGGGGTTGGGGGGGGGGGGGGGGAAGTATAGGATATATTTATAAAGGGACCATGAAGGAATACTACTAGTATTGACTCCGACGCCCTGTGTCTCGGCTGTCCAGTAACCTAGGATTAAAAAGGGTGCCCTTTTTGGCTTAAAGGGGTTTATAAGGGAACCTTAACCCCTCAAAAAGGGAATAAGGGCACCACTGGGCATCCTAGATGTTATGTCATGCCAACTGTTCATGCCTCGCACAAACCCCGGCACACCGTCAAGGAAAGCGCTCTTGTTCTATCGATGAAGCCGCCTCCCAGAGACTCCAAAAACCCCTTAAGTAAGGAATTAATCCTTAGATCATATTGGGCTTCCTATTACAATCTGAGGGACATTCCTTAGTTAAGGGGTTTTGGAGTCTCTGAGCTCACCACTCTGGCAACTCCGCAGTGTCTCTAAAACGTCGCTGATGATATACAAAGACCAAAGGTCAACAACACCAGGCAAGCAGAAGTGAAGACAATCATGCTTTCCAGGTGCCTTTATCAAGACCGTGTGGGCGTCAGCCCGCAAACTCGTGGCCAATGTGATGTTATAGAATACAAAGCGTGGGCCACTGCGCTCAAACACGTTTCGCCACTCGTTGTCTTGATCTGCAAAAGTGTGCCAGTTGAACTGCGTAGGTGGGATATGGTCCAGGCTGCTTATGGGAGCAGCTACTTCGTCACACTTTGCATGCGGCCGAAAGTGTGATCTGAAAATGAACACCCCGTGCTTGTTTTGCGAGTGCAACGTCCTGGCAACCGTCTGGGCCATCTCCGCAACTGCCGTCCTGTTCCGTCCATCCCCGAGCCGAGCATGTTTGTGAGCACCGGTGTTCAGAATAACCACATCTGCCTCCTGGACGAGCTGGGAGGGCCAATCAGGTGCGACGACATCTGTGCTTTCATGGACAAAATGGTCAAGCCGATAAAAGTGGATGAAGCCACCCCCGCGCAGCGAGACAACCGACTGTTCCGGCTCCATTTGTCGGTGTTCATCCCTCACCGCCACATCGCCGACGAGACAGCGGAGGGAGACGAAATGCTCCATCGTGAGTGAATCCCCTATGAACAGCACACGTCGACCAGACAAGGACTCCAACAAGGAACTCCGGGTGCTCAAGTTGCAATCTGCGTTCGCCGGCACCCAGAGCCAAGAGAGCAAACGCCTCATTCGCCAGTCTTGCGCGCCAGTCGCCGATACATTGAAGCCTAAGGACTTCCATGCAGCATGGGGTCTTGCGCAGATGTGAAAATACTTCTTGACGCAGCCGTCATAGAACGGAGTGATGTCCTCCAACTGGCCCGGCCTTTGTACCCAAGCGCCCGCTTGAAGACAACCGCGATCTCGGATTCTGCACAGGTTGGGTGACAGTTCCTCGTCATGGGCGACGACGGAGGAAGTTGCGAGGCTACCACGCATCTCCGATCTCGGCAGCGCCGTATTATCTGCCACTGATAGATAGCACGCAGCGGCTATGGCCACCGCGGCCGTCAGAATGCGTCTAACACACGTCGATGGCGAAACCATCGGAGACGCCTAGTGCAAGGGGAAACGAGGCCGTTCCCGCACTAGTTTACCTACTGGTACGAAGTAGGGGGAATGAAGGAGTCAGGCACCTTGCATCCCCCTTTTGTATCCCCCCTTCTGTACCCTAAACCCCAAACCCTAAACCCTAAACCCTAAACCCTAAACCCTAAACCCTAAACCCTAAACCCTAAACCCAAGCCTCTACATATTCCCTTTAAGGGACTACATAGGGAAGATGGCCTTTGACTCAGAGCTGAAATTTGTTTTGGCCGCGCGTGGAATAGTCTCAGGATGCAGAGCACCCGCCCAGGGTGGTTTGCAGCACGTTCAGGGCTTTCGAAAGGTTAGGGTTTCGGGTTGAGGGTTGAGGGTTGAGGGTTGAGGGTTGAGGGTTGAGGGTTTAGGGTTTAGGGTTTAGGGTTTAGGGTTTAGGGTTTAGGGCTGCGGGGTCAGGGTACCAACAGGCACCCGCAGTGAGAGCGCCCGCAAAGCAGAGTCTCGCGCCCACATCAGGTCTTCGCAGGCCGCCGCACTGCCCGGCCGCGCAGGAATAGGATCGCCGGGGCTGGCCTGGAAGTTTGGGGTTTAAGGTTTAGGTTTAGAGTTTTGGGGTTAGGGTTTAGGGTTTAGGGTTTAGGGTTTAAGGTTTAAGGTTTCGGGTTTAGGGTTTAGGGTTTAGGGTTTAGGGTTTAGGGTTTAGGGTTTAGGGTTTAGAGTTCCAACACCCCTGGCAGGATCTAGAAAAAGGGGGGGGGGGGGGCTGGAGGGGGGGGGGAAGGGTAAGAAGTTTCAGGGCTTGACAAACAACTCCTATACCCAAAGCTTGGTCTTGGGGCACCTTTAGCACGCACGCCCCTGCTGGGGAGCCCCACAACGTGAGGGCTGCCAGGGCATAGGCGTCCGAGGGCAGCAGCGCGGACAGCAACAGGTAAGCCTGGGTTCAGGGTTTAGGGCTGAGGGCTTAGGGTGTAGGGCTTAGGGCTTAGGGCTTGTAAACCCTGAACCCTAAACCCTTAAGGTGCTTCAAGGCCCCCCCCCAGATTCCGCCAGGTGCCCCCCAAAAAACCCTCCACGGAAGACCACGGGGCCATGAAAGCTGCAGCCATGGCGGGGAAGAAGATCCGGCCTGGCCAGCACTGAACCCTAGACCCTAAACCCTAAACCCCAAACCCTAAACCCTGAACCCTGAACCCTCAACCATCGCTCAATTTTTGCTTCGCGCTTGAAGGGTTTGGGGGCTAGGGTTTAGGATCCTATGGAAATCACAAATGTCCGAAGATGAATTTACTTATCGATGTCTTTCTTCAATTCATGATTAGATAGGTACATAGTATCCAATAGAAAATCATCTATGGTTTATGATTTATGGTCGTCGTCTTTCTTGACAGAAGCAGGTAGAATGAAAGATGATCTTGAAGCATTGCAGGGCAGGGGGGGTAAGTAACCCCATTCCCTAATATCCCCAGTACTCTGAGACCTTAGGCCCTCAACCATAAAGACCCTAAACCCTAAACCCTAAACCCTAAACCCTAAACCCTAAACCCTAAACCCTAAACCCTAACCCAAAACCCTAAGCCGCACAACAAGGCTTTCAGGGCTTCAGGGATTGCTGGTAGGTCCCCCCATAGGCTGTGGGGTTTAGGGTTTAGGGTTTAGGGTTTAGGGTTTAGGGTCCGCCGACCCTGGCGGCGTGTTGGATGGGTTTGAGGAGGTGAATTTCCCTCCTTACCCCCCCAAAACGCGGGGGGGGGGGGGGGTAGGGGGGGTCGGTGCACAATTTTTTCGTGGAGGACGCGCCACCCGCACAGCGTAAACAGGCGGTTCAGCACAGGGGGGTAGGGGCGCCCTCACCCACCCCCCACCCCCACCCTGCTACCCCCTACCCCCCCCCCCAAACGTTTCACAGAACTCTGCCGAGCAGGCTGGGATGATCTTCGAACCATGCGAGCGGGTTTAGACCTCTCAACTATGCTCCAGCGGGGTCGGCGGCTTGAGCCGGAGGCTCTTAAATTTAGGGTTTAGGGTTTAGGGTTTAGGGTTTAGGGTTTAGGGTTTAGGGTTTAGGGTTTAGGGTTTAGGGTTTAGGGTTTAGGGTTTAGGGCCTAGGGTTTAAGGCCTAGGGTTTAGGGTTTAGGGTTCAGGGCTTAGGGCTTAGGGCTTAGGGTTTAGGATCTCAAGTGGCAGAACAAGCCCTTAACGAGCCAGCGCCGCAGTACTTCGTCCCGAGGCAGGTCTCGAGCTGCTTGCGCAGCGCCTCCTCCCCTGGACGACAGGCTTGGTTTTAGGTTTAGGGTTTAGGGCTTAGGGTTTAGGGCTCAGGGCTTAGGGTTTAGGGTTTAGGGTTTAGGGTTTAGGGTTTAGGGTTTAGGGTTTAGGGTTTAGGGTTTAGGGTTTAGGGTTTAGGGTTGAGGGTTGAGGGTTGAGGGTTTAGGGTTTACCCTAAACCCTAATTACATTGAGGTTAGGGTTTAGTTCTTCCCCCTTTCCAGGGTCCATCCTTAGTGAGGGCTTTCATTCGTACATGAGCGATGATGATCATGGCTGCCGATACTCCGGCAAGTGCGACTGTAAGGAGGAAGATCCTAAGCTTTGGGAGGAACCTGAATTCCGAAACACTAGGGCTTGGGGCTTTTGGTTTAGGGTTCAGGCGTTTCGGGTTCTGGGGTTTAGGGCTTAGGGTTCAGGGGTCAGGGTTTAGGGCTCAGGTTGAGGGTCCTGTTCAGCCCAACTTAGATGCTAGGAGAGCAAGTGGTTATCGATCCTCAGCTCTACAAAGCGAGGCCCCCGCCCCCAGGAAAAAGAAAAAAACACCACCGAAGACCCCAAACAGTCAAAGGCACGTCAAAGAAACGGTGGAGACAACGGGAGACAAAGGGACACGAAGGGAGACAAAGGGAGGCGAGGAGCACAGCAACCCGGCCCACATGAAGTGGGGACAAAAGGAGACAAAGGGAGACAAGGGGACAATGGGAGACAAAGGAGACAAGGAGCCCAGGAACCTGGCAACAGTCCTCAGAATGTCGGCAATTCTTAAATGCATTTAGAACCCCAACAGTAGACTGGTTGGGGCCTTAGGGCCTTAGGGCCTTCGGGCCTTAGAACCTTGGGCAGGGCCTTGGGGGGGGGCCTTAGGGGTGGCAGGGGCCTTAGGGCCTTGGGCCTAGGTCAGGCGAGGGAGAATCTTTAAAACGAACTTCACATGGAGATGAGGGGTTTTGGTCTGAGGTTTTATGTGGTTTCCACAGTTTCCAGCATTTACAGGTTGCTAGGCGTTATCGGGTTCCTGGGGCCTCTAGACTTTATAGGGTCTTTGGGCGAGAAGTCCCTTCCCCTTCTGGCCTAAGCCATCTGCATGCGCTTGCCCCTGGCGCGGAGCAGTTATGACCGACGTCTCATTCAACCTGGAGCCCTGAATCCAGAGGTGCGTGTAAGAAAAACCACACTTGCGGTTGAGGGTTTAGGGTTCAGGGTTTAGGGTTTAGGGTTTAGGGTTTAGGGTTCGGGGTTTAGGGTTTAGGGTTTAGGGTTGTTGGCACACGAAACCTTGTTCAACCAACAAGACTTTGGGGTTTTGGGGCTTTGGGGAATGTGGATGTTGGGGTTGGGGGCTTTGCGGTTTCATGGCTTGCCTCGACCCCAAACGACCTTGAGCGTCGGCTTTGGGGCAAAAATCACAAGCATGGCAACTATGGCCACCTGTGGTTTTTTTATGACGGGTAAAATTTGCTCCCCCCGCCCCCGGACCCCCCCCCCCCCCCCCCCCCCCCCCCCCCCCCCCCCCCCGGCCCCGGGTCCCCGCCTCCCGGCCCCCCCCTCCCCCCTTAAATCAGCAAAAAAACTCAGCTCAATTTTTCTCAGTTTTTTTTCCAATGGGAAATAAGACCTCCACCAACCACAAACCTTCTTTCTCCTACACTTCAAAACAACTAAATCTCCTCTTGGACCCGCTCTATCCCTTCTTGGGCAACAGATTTAACCAACCTAATCGCAAAATTCGTCGCCCCAAACGGAGAGTTTGATGAGAGCATTGTCAGCAAATTATTCTTGTTTTTTTCTTGTTTTTAATAAAACTTTTCACGACAGAAAGTGATTTCAGAACGAACTAGTCTTTCGCCTTTTACTAAAGGTTACCGTGGATCGCTTTCAAAGTGAAATGCTGATTTTCAATACTAAAAAAAGAATTTATGAACAACAGGCGATTTTATTCATTAGAATTGCCCTTCCAAAAAAACTGAACTAAATTTTTAATATCAATTTTACAATGCTGGTGAGCAGCAAAAACAAGTTTTATTTGATTTAATATTTAATTGATCAAAAAATCCAGTATCATTTTCTCCTTTCCAACTAAGCGATTTGTAAAGGGCAAAATAACCCTCCCACTTCTGGCGACAGCTCAACTCTAAAATCCCTTGGCCCTAAACCCCTGAAGCCGTGAACCTTCATGACCCTGAACTCCTGAACCCCAACACTAACCCCTTTGGCTCCGGAAGCTCCTGAGCCCTTGAGTGATTGAAGTCCTATACCCGAAACTCAAGGGACTCTACCCTGGACACTGGAGGTGGTACCAGCTTGGGTTTGGGGACCCCTTTTTCTTTAAGACCCCTAAGGTGGTATAAGGGCCATATTAAACCTTGAGGGGTGCAACCTTAGGTGCGAGTCGGAAATCCCTTGAACAACCTCCCAGCCAGAAACCCTAGACCTCCCAACCCCTAAACCCTAAACCCTAAACCCTCAACCCTCAACCCTCAACCCTCAACCCTCAACCCTCAACCCTCAACCCTCAACCCTCAACCCTCAACCCTCACCCCTCAACCCTCAACCCTCAACCCTCAACCCTCAACCCTCAACCCTCAACCCTCAACCCTCAACCCTCAACCCTCAACCCTCAACCCTCAACCCTCAACCCTCAACCCTCAACCCTCAACCCTCAACCCTAACCCTCAACCCTCAACCCTAAGCCCTAAGCCCTACACCTCCAAACCCGACGCCTCGCAGGACAGCCGCTGCCGGCACTCCTCGCTGGAGAGCCGCCGCAACTCCTCCCCCGTGCGGATGGAAACTTAGGGTTTTTGGTGTTTTGGGGTTTTGGGGTTTTTTGGGTTTTGGGATTTTTGGGTTTTGGGATTTTGGGGTTTTGGGGTTTCGGGGTTTTGGGGTTTTGGTGTCTTGGGGTTTAGGGCTTAGGGTGGTTCAGGGTTTCGGGCTTGAGGGTTTACGGTACAAGGCTTGTCGAGTTCAGGGTCTAGGGCTTGAGGGTTTCTGGGGTTTACAGGTTTAGGGGGGGTTTTAGTGTTTGGACTTTGGGGTTCAGGGTTTGGACTTAGAGGGTCTAGGGTCTAGAGTTTAGGGTTTTAGGTTTAGGGTTTGGGGTTTAGTTAGGGTTTAGAGTTTCAGAACTTCAGGGTTTTGGGCTTCAAGGCTTCAGTGGTTCAGGGCTTCAGGCTTCAAAGTTTCAGAGCCCGGGGCTTCAAGGTTCAGGGTTGACGCTGTAAGGGCTCAGGGCTCAAGGAATTGAACTGAACTTATGACCTGCCAATACAGACATATTAGCGCGCAGGCTTGGGGGGAAAGATGTATGGGCCCTTACTTTGTATAGGGTGTAAATGGGGTATAGAAGGGATGTCCTTTTAAGGGCCCAGGCTAAGGGACCAGGGCTTTGGTCGAGGGTCTGGGGTTTAGGGTGTCGGGGCTTCGGTTGAAGGGTTTGCAGGAAGGGTAGATGGGGTCCATTCTCTAGGCCCTTGGCTAAATCCTTGGAAAGTTAGACCGTCTCATCCTGGTGTTCGCTCATGCTCACGCTCTCTTCGTTATAAAACTGGCCTGTTCTGGCTGACAAATCTGCCCTTGAGACCCTAACTCTCATAGCTTTGTCTACACCGTTGGAATCGCATGCCAGGTTCACCGTGCAAAAAAGCCTCACAAGTTCATTTTTGTTCGGCTTTTGCCTGTATAGTAATAGCTTAGATTTACAGGGCCTCGGCTTTTGCCTGTATAGCAATAGCTTAGATTTATAGGGTCTGTTCCCTTGCCTGGCCGTCAGTTTAGTTTGCTTGAGTGCCGACCTTAGGCCCAGAACGGCTTTCAACTTGGAGACTTTGCAACTTTTCGAGGGCTCCAAACAGTCGTTTCCTAAAGCCCAAGACCTAAATCCCCAAACCATAGGCGCAGAAACTAAAGCCCGAAACTCCTCAAACCCTTCGACCCCCAAAACCCTGGAACACATCAATGACCTAAAGCCCCAACACCCAAAACCCAATACGCTGAACCCTTAAACCGTCACCCTAGAACACCCTTAAACCCAAACCCCAAGCCCTAAAAACCTAAACCCCTAAACTCAAAACACTAAGACCCGAACATGCCGAAAGCCACTGGAGACCCTAAACCCTAAACCCTGAACCCTAAACCCGAAACCCTAAACCCTAAACCCTACACCCCAAACCCTAAACCCTAAACCCTAACTTCCTGCGGCATGAGCTGGAAGGCTCCAGGCAGCCTCCAGGCTCGGACTTTTGAGGTTTTAGGCCTTTTTTGTCGTGATTTAGGGGTGTCATTCGGGTTGCACAGGGTTTCTTAGGGTTTCTTTAGGGTTTCTTTAGGGTTTCTTTAGGGTTTCTTTAGGGTTTCTTCTTAGGGTTTCTTAGGGTTTCTTAGGGTTTCTTGGGGTTTCTTAGGGTTTCTTAGGGTTTCTTTAGGGTTTCTCAGGGTTTCTCAGGGGGCTCTGGGTCTAGGGGGGCTTTAGCAGGGCGTTGGAGGACTTGAGGGTTTCGGGTTCTTGGGTATGGGGTTTAGGGTTTAGGGTTTAGGGTTTAGGGTTTAGGGTTTAGGGTTTAGGGCTTAGGGCTTAGGGCTTAGGGCTTGGGGCTTGGGGGGCTTGGAGCTTGGGGGCTTGGGGCTTGGGGCTTGGAGCTTGGGGCTTGGGATTCAGGGGTGGCATAGGGTTGCTTAAGGTTCCGGGCCTCCCCCTAAATGCTGCTGAGAGGAGGACCTCAGAGTGCCCCGTAAGAGCCCACAACCAGGGCCAGCTTACCTAAGAGTCCGAGAACGAGTCCTCTTGCAGTCTCAGACCTCCAAAAAAACTTTTGGGTCCCTCAAGGTCATCCTAAACCCTAAACCCTAAACCCTAAACCCTAAAACCCTAAACCGCAGAAAGAGCCCAAAAAAGCTCTTCCCCGTTTATGGCCTCGCCAAAAAGGAGCCCATGGCAGATCGCGGCCAAAGCAAGATGACAGCTGTTGTTCAGGTTCACGGGTAGTTCTAAGTATGGGTTATAAGTATGGGTGATAAGTACGGCAAGTCTACTGATGACCCTACTGAGGGTATGTATAATCCTACTTAGAACCCATGAAGCTCCAAGTACTGATGTTGCTTCCTGTAAGGGTTAAGGGTTAAGGGTCGCCGAGGTTGGGCACTGGGGGCTCAGTTTTGGGCTAACAGCTTTAGAGGGCTTGAATTCGGGCATTGCGGCATTGGGGGCTGAAGTTTCGGTTTGGGCCTGTAGGCCTTGGATTCGGGGGAATTCCGGGGTGTGGGGTTGGCAGTCCAGAATTTGGGGCTGAGGAGATGGCTCTTGGCGCCGCTGCTTCCATGAACAGAGCCAGCGCTGTGGGCGAAAAGTTGAGTATACTAGCAGTCCTCAATAGGCATGATAATGCCCCGTATTAAGGACTGTTAGTATAAGGCTAAAGGCTTAAGGGTTCCTAGGAGGGACCTGCACAGCCCCATCATAGGTCCCTCCTTCTGTGCCCTAACAGGCAACTTCAACGGAGGACCAGGCAGGAGGAGTCTCGGCATGAAGGGGGGGGGGGGGCGGGGGGAGCCTAGGAAAAACAGGGGCATCCTGATTTGTGTGTTCAGGGTTTAGGGTTTCGGCATTACCTCAAAAAACAGTTGTAGAACTCTTATCATCAAGCTCCAGCCAAAAAAGGAATTTCTGTGGCTGTGCGTATAGATACAGCCAACGCAAGGAACTAACATAGTTCAACTCTGAATGTAGCTAGTATCCTAATTCGGTGAACCGGCAGGATCCCATTACATCTTACAATCCAGGCAGCAGGAGGCGTCCAAGCAGGTTTGTGAGGGATCCTGCTTCGTGTTGAATCTAAACGGAGATTTTGCCTAAACCCTAAACCCTAAACCCTGGTCACAGAAACGTCTGAGGCACGAGCATACGCCAGGTGGAAAATGGAAGCCATGGGCCGCCCGGTAGATCGGACTCTGCGGCTGCAGGCCGAGCCGTAGACGTTTTAGTCTTACTTGGAGGCTCACGGGGAGCTATAGGTAGGGTTAGAAGTATGGTAAGTATGCATAAAGCCCTGCTTAGGGTAGCTTCACCACAGACAGCGATCGTTCCTCGACATGCATTCTTGGGGTGTGGCTGGCCAAAGCCCCCAACCTCCTCAAATCCCGGCAAGAATAGCCAGCATAAGAACATGGTTTCCAATTTTAGGTAACTTCTGAGATGGAAACCCAACCAAGTGATGCTCCGGTGGCCAGATGGCTTGAAGCAAGCAGGATGGCTGTGGTGACAGGAGCTCGGTGAGGGCTCAGCAGGGGGTTTAGGTGTTAGGGCCTTCGGGGTTAGGATTGAACCCTGCAACCCAGATCCTATACCCGCCCTAAACGTGCCACGAACAATCTCGATTTGTTCTGTATCACTCACACAACAAGCTGGTACCCCATTTCCATGGGCATCATGAAGAGAACCAGCATTCTGGAATACCATTGGAGAAACACTTGGACTATGAAATCTGTGGTACATGAAGCTGAGTGATGATTTTCTCTTGGTCTAAGAATAAACTGACTGACGGTGGAGAAGGTGCGCAGGAGCAATGCAAGCAGTACTCAATAACACGTGCAGCTGATAGGGCATAGAGCCGACGACCGATCTATTCGGGAAATGAAACACGAGCGACAGTGTCAACAGGCCATAACGATATGGGGGTTTCCACCTTATTGGGGTCTAATGTTATGAGGGAATCCTTCTGTTAGGGGGTCAATTTTTGTGGGGGTCCCCTGTTTGTTAAAACCCTGATGTGGACTCTGGCCTCCCCTACAGGCAAGCACCCATGGCGTGTCCGGCTGCAACCTGAGACACGCAGGCGAGTCACCGCCAGCAGGCGCGTTTGCGCTTCGCCCTGCTGTCATACACCTTGTGCCACAGGTGCGTTGGCCCCAACGGTGGCTGTATAGCAGCTGCAAAAGCTCGCTCGTGCCGCTCATGCTTGCACGCCCCACACCCGGCCGGCGGTGTGAAGGAATGCCACCTTGGATTGTGCTGGCACGGTGCCTCATTCTGGGTAAGGCATACAAACCCATGCCACTTTGGACTGTGCTGGGCACGGTGGGCTTCCTTCTGGGTAGGGCCGACTCTCGCCTAACGGATTCTTTCGCGCAGCAACAGTCAAACGTCAACATCTACGCACACCGGCACCCAATCCGCTGGAAAAAAACACCACCTGTACCTGCTGCCAAGGTGTACAGCAACCATGCACGCGTTTCCCAATAACACTGGATGAAGATACGACATTGAACATGGAAATCAAGCTTCTCGGGCAATGGACGAACGGCGTCACAAAACCATGACACGGACGGCGGCCTCCCCTACAAGCAACCATGCAACCCACACTGTGCCATGCTGGGACACACGGGTGAATCACCGCCAGCAGGCGCATTGGCGCACCGCCCTGCTGTCATGCACCTCGTGCCCCAGGTGCGTTGGCCCCAACGGTGACTGGCGGCTGCACTCCGGCAGCTCGTGCCTGTCATGCTTGCAGCCCCACGCCTGGCCAGCGGCGTGTCAGAGGAAGGCCACATTCTCTGTGCCGGCACGGTGGCTTCCATGTGGGTAAGGCAAAGGATCGCACCGCATCAAGTCTTTCCTTACACACCAAGCCCTCCTAAACCCCTAAACCCCTGAACCCCTAAACCCCTAAACCCCTAAACTCCGAAACTCCGAAACCCCAACCCGCTAAACCCCTAAACCCCTAAACCCCTAAACCCCCTAAACCCCTAAACTCCGAAACTCCGAAACTCCGAAACCCCAACCCCCTAAACCCCTCACCTCCAAAAACCCTGCGGCTTTTTGTCGCCCTGAGCGCTGAGGGCTTCGCCTGCGCGAAAGCCAGCACTCTACACTAACTGGTTCTGAGTAGGAAACTTGGAGATCGAGATGAGGTACCCAAGTACCCAATACTTGGAGGTTGGCACGAGTAGTTTTCGAAGTAGGATTGTACGTACCCTATATAGGGTTACAGGTAACATGAAACGTTTCAACACCCATGAGCCTCCAGGCTTAAGGCCCGACAGTCGGTCGGAGCCCCCGTGCTCACTCCATGTCCTCCGGCCGCCGGTCGACTTCACGGCTTTGTCGTGCTGTCCGCACCCTGCTGCCAGAGGCTTTTCCTCAGAGGGCGCGGGGTTCCGGGCTAAGGGGTTAGGGCTTAAGGCTTCCGGCGTACACTTCACGGTTTCGGGTTTCGAGCACTTTGCATGAAACGGCTCCACCCTTTAAAACCTTAAGAAGAACCCCCCAAAGCCCGACAAAGACCCGACAAAACACCCAAGCTCTATACACCCCAAACCCTACATCCTCAAACCCTGTCTCCAGAAAAAAAAACCTATAGACTCTAAATCTCTATCAACACACAAACACCCCAAACCCCACACCCGAAACACCTAACACCACTAAACCCTAAACCCTAAACCCTAAACCCTAAACCCTAAACCCTAAACCCTAAACCCTAAACCCTAAACCCTAAACCCTAAACCCCCCCTCTCGTCTTATCTGCTCCCAGGTTCACGCCCTTGCCAGCCATATCCATCAGTCCGGTCACGTTGGGCATCCCCAAGTTCGCTTGAGCACCTTATTCCAAGTAGGGTTTAGGGTTTAGGGTTTAGGGTTTAGGGTTTAGGGTTTAGGGTTTAGGGTTTAGGGTTTAGGGTTTAGGGTTTAGGGCTTAGGGCTTAGGGTTTAGGGTTTAGGGTTAGGGTTTAGGGTGTAGCATTGGTCAGCTGAACTTAATGGTGTGAAGACACGCCCACCCCAAGGCCACCCAAACACGACTCACTGCGAACCAACCGGAGCCAGCCCAAACCAAGCCGAGGCCCGTTCAAAATTCCACGTGACACATGTTTAGGGGATGCCAATGCCATTGCAGCAGAGCATACCCCCCCCGCCTTCAGGCTGTTGCGCAGGGGACGGCCTGGGCCGGGCCCTTTCATAGAAAATTCCGGGCCGGGATTTTGAGGACCGCTGAGTGTCTTGCTTGATTTCGGTTTTTGCTGAACCCTGCAATAGAGGGTTTAAGAAGTAAGGTCCCGGGTAGAGTCATACTTCGGAAAACAAGGAAAAAGATAAAGAGATACAGAAAGAGAGAAAGAAAGAGAGAAAGACAGAAAGAAAGAAAGAAAAAAAGAGAGCGAGAGAGAGAAGAAATAAAAAATGGAAAATCAAAGGGGGGACCCCGGAAATTTGTGGCAGCTTAGGGGTTTGTCTAGGGTTAAAGCTTTAGAGTTTAGAGTTTAGGGTTTATCCATCTGCGAGGCACTGGCAGGTGTTGGAGTGCTCGCTCCAGCGGGCGGAAGGTTGGGCATGCGGCTGCCCGCGTTAGACTCATCCACGAAGGGTGGGTTTGCAGCGGCCTTCGTGTAGGCTGGCTGTATGATGCCAGGAGGCATGTGCGGCATGTGGCCGGGAGGCGGCATCTGGGCATATGGCACCTGGCCGGCGCCGGGCATCTGAGTCTGAGGCATCTGGCCATAACCTGGCAGCGGGCCCGGAGGGCAGCCATAGCCCGGGGCTTGCCCATAGCCCGGCATCTGGCCTGGTGGCACTTGTCCTGGTGCCTTGGTTGCTAGCAGCCGAGAAAAAACCTTCTCCTGCCCAACATTGTCAAGTTCCTGACAAGTCTCAACCTGCAGACCTGCAGACCTGCAGACCTATGAGCCTCAACGCAAGCCTCCCTCATAACCCTCCACTTCAACACCTGATCTCAAGCCCGTCCGTTCTCCCCTCGCAAGGCAAGAGGCCGGGTTCCCTTTGCCTTTTCCACCGCCCTTGCCGGAGGCAACGGCTGAGACGATGCGTGCGAACTCCATTGGCTCCTTGTCCAGCTCCTTGCATCCCCAACTACTAGCACCGCTTTACCCGAAGAGTTTATGAATTTACAAATTTCTAAGTTATATATACTAATATGCTAATATACGAATATATTAATATACTAATCTTCTGATATACAAATACACTAGTATACCAATATAGTAAGATACTGACATACTGATATACTAGTATACTAATATACTCATATACTACTACACGAAGATGTACTCATACCATAGTATACTCATATGCTAAGAAGCTCAAATACTAATACCTAATCACTGACCTGTGATGTCTGTTTAATCCCACGTTTCTTTCATGGCATCATACTTGCATAACCAACTGTCGAACTCGCAAGTCAGTTAACTGATCTGTGCACCGTGCTTAAGTCCCACCCTTTTCTTTCTTTGCATCATGCTTCCAGAACCAGCTTTGAAACTCGACAGCCAATTCTTAGGGTTTAGGGTTTAGGGTTTAGGGTTTAGGGTTTAGGGTTTAGGGTTTAGGGTTTAGGGTTTAGGATTTAGGGTTTAGGGTTTAGGGTTTAGGGTTTAGGGTTTAAAGTTTAGGGTTTAGGGTCTATGGGCTAGGGTCTAGGGTTTAGGGTTTAGGGTTTAGGCTATGTCTGTTAACTCCCCGATCACTCGACAGCCAAGTCTTCATGTTACTCATCACTCGACAACCTCATCTCTGTGGAAGTATGCTTGTAAGTCCAACCCCTTTCTGTTCTCACGATCATGATCCGATAACTTCTTCACTCTTCGAAGCATGCTAAAAACTATGTCAAACAACCGCCTCTTTTCTTCTCCTCAAAACTTGACAGCCAGTTCCCGGTAGTTCTCCTCAGCACCGATCTGTGACGTGTGTCTAACCCGACCCTTTTCTTGCTTCACATCATAATTTGATAGCGGAAATGTGCTAAAACACCCCCCCCCCTTCTTTTCGTTTCACCATGCTTCAGTAGCCCACTCTCTGCACTAAGCTTCTCCTCAACACTGATCTGTTAATCTGTTTAACGTTATTCTTATGTCCACAGAGCTCGGCATCCAATTCGTTGGGGGAAGCTTGTCAAATCGCACCCCGCACAAGTCCATTAACAACTCTGTTTCAAAAGCACGTTACAAACCAAGCCGTTTTTTGTTGGTTTCCATGACCAGCTT